ATACATTCATGAATGTATGCAATACTTCCACCTACTAGCCTTCACCACCCGAAGCCAGAAGTCGTCTTGCAAATACACACACTAACGTGACTGCTGCGCCGATATGAGTGGAGAAAGTGTTAATAAATGCTTGGATTTGGGAGCGCCAAGCTCTTGCTGATGGTGGAGGGCCCTTCACCAGCCTTGCATGCTGTCGTCTGCTTTCGCTGTCAAAATGAGGCACTCACGAAAGATGGCGCTTATACCACTGATGACGCCTTTCATTGCAAGACATCTGCCCCACTTCATCCTCCGCATCCTCCTCCACATGATGCATACGCACCTTTCTACACCCACCACACATTGCACAGTTGCAGGAAGCTGCGCTATCGTCACTTCGTTATCCACAGATGAAAGCAGAAGAGCGAGGCAGCAGGTGAAAATAGCTGGAGGGGATCCATTGCATACGATGCCTTTTATGCGATTACGCTGAACCACTCACAAAGTGTGCCTCATGCATGAGTCACCTCCTCGCCTCTACTACCTCCACCTACCACCTCTCCAACCTCTCATCTTCCCCAAGCTCTACGGCGCTGCACTTGGTCAGCGTGTACTTAACTGCTTCCGAACAGGCAGCAACGTGTTTAGCGACCTCCAGAAAGAAGTAGGTTGAAGGCACGCGCAAGTTCATACTACCTCTCACACCACTGCATCGCTGACCCCAACTTTCCACCTCCTCTTCTCCTCACCCTATTCTTCGTCTCTAACGCCGCCTTTGCACGTCCACTCTCACATCTGCCCATTGCGAGAATGCCAGAAGCGGGTCGTGCATAGCCACGCTGCTGGTGGCGAATATTGTCTTCCAGCATTCAAGTCACACACGCACACACACACCCACATCATCGCTTCATGCCACCGAGATGCACTTGGAGACTCCACAAACGAGGTGTGTGGAAGGAGTTGGTTTCAAATGGTGTGTGGATGGTGAGCGCACCAACGATGCCAATTCACTACGGAGTTGGTGAGCCACCCATTGGCGCTACCACGCCTACTCTGTCTGCTGTCACTGCTGAGGTCGGCGATCAACGGCGCCTCCGTCCACCACACCGCTAATAGGTTCACCGCAGTTGGCGGTGCCAATGAGGTCAGTCAAACGGGGCAGTCCGTCTGTTGCATGCGGATGGATGCCCGACACACGGATTGGTAGTTGGTGCTTACTGAGGGTTAAGTAACACCAGATCTGCCTTAACTTCACCTACACCGTCTTCAAGGCGATGCCTCAGAACAGTGCTGATGCAGGCTAACTGTTTTATCGGCATAGAATAAGCAGAAAGTGGGGCAACTTGATGCATCCTCTGCATCATAAAAGCCAATTATGAAGTGATTTCTGCTGGTCAGTGGAAGGGTGGCGAAGATGATGCACCAATTGAGCGCTTTAGACGGCAACTGACAC